TTTCTGCCTAACCTACCTTGCAGGGTTGCTGTACAGATCACAAAGCAGAAGAAGAGAACGAAGTAAACTGCTTTGCTCCCCACTAACGAGAAAGACAGAACTTTGCCTAGGAAGAGGTTGCTGAAAGGGGAGGACATAAAGTTGCCAAATTTAGGTATGGAAATTCCTGGAGATTTCAGGTGTGGAGCCTGGAGAGGGTGGGTTTGAGGAGGGGTGGGACCTCAGACAGGTACACTGCCACAGACACCATACTCCGAAACTGTCAAATGTGTCCAGGGCCACAGACAACAATTACTCTCTACTACTATAAGGTATGCTGTTCTTTACTCCCACATTAGTTCTTTACACTGCAAAACATTACTCTGTGTTTACTCTGCCTGCAAGATTCAAAATCATTGACCCCACCCTCTTTCTAGAGCTCATTGTATTTTCCCCCCCACAACGGGACTTATTCCTAGTACATATTATATAGCCGATGCCACTGCATTTGATTTGTATTTTTAAAAGCTAAGTCTTAACAATTCTTCCACCAAGATCTCTGTACTGCTATGCTAGCTTTTGTCCTTTTTTTCACTTGTCACATTAAACACTTTCCACTCCAATGGTAAATTCAGAGGTGATTCTATAAGCAGCTGCAGAACATTTACCATTTATGGTGGCTCCATAAACAGCTTTCTAAAGACTTTAGGTAACTAACAAATAAATAAATAAATAAATACCAACCTGTCAGCTTGATGTCTATAACTGGGAAAGTTTTAGAACAAATCATCAAACAGACAGTCATTGAGCATTTAGGAAGTATAGCTGTGATTACTAAGAGCCAGCATGGATTTCTCAAGAACATGTCAGACTAACCTTATCTCTTTTTTTGAGAAAGTTACTACCTTGCTGGATCAGGGGAATGATGTAGACATAGTTTATCTTTATTTCAGTAAGGCTTTTGATAAGGTTCCACATAATATTCTTGTTGACAAGTTGGTAAAATGTGGTTTGGATTCTATGACTGTTAGGTGGATCTGTAACCGGTTGACAGATCGCATCCAAACAGTGCTTGTTATTGGTTCCTCAATCTCTTGGAGAGGAGTAACATGGAGCACCTCAAGGATCTGTCTTGGGATCTGTTTTGTTCAACATCTTTATAAATGATTTGGATGAAGGAATAGAGGAAATGCTTATTATATGTGCATATGACACTAAATTGGGAGGGGTCGCAAATACTGTAGAAGACACAGTCAGGATATAGGCTGATCATGATAAGCTGTAAACTGGGCTAAAAATTAAAATGAATTTCAATGGGGATAAATGTAAAGTTCTGCATTTATGTAGGAAAAATCAAATGCATAATTATAGGATGTGGGAGACTTGTCTTGGCAGTAGTATGTGCGAAAAGAATCTAGGGGTTTTAGTAGACCATACACTGAACATGAGTCAGCAGAGTGATGTGGTAGCTAAAAAGACAAATGCCATTTTGGGCTGTATCAACAGAAGTATAGTGTCCAGATCATGCAAAGTGATGGTATCATTTTACTTTGCTCTGGTTAGACCTCTCCTAAAGTATTTTGTTCAGTTTTGGGCACCACAATTTAAAAAGGATATGGACAAGCTGGAACATGTCCAAAGGAGGGCAACAAAGATGATGAGGGATCTGGAGACCAAGTCCTATGAGGAAAGGTTGAAGGAGCTGGATATGTTTAGCCTGAAGAAGAGATGACTGAGAGGTGATATGATAACCATTTTCAAGTACTTGAAGGACTGTCATTATAGAGGATGGTGTCAAGTTGTTTTCTGTTGCCCCAGAAGGTTGGACCAGAACCAACAGGTTGAAATTAAATCAGAAGAGTTTTCAGCTAAACATTAGGAAGAACTTCTTGACAGTTGGACCGGTTCCTGAGTGGAACAAGTTTCCTCAGGAGGTGGTGGTGGGATCTCCTTCTTTGGAGGTTTTCAAACAGAAGCTGGATGGCCATCTGACAGCAATGCTGATTCTGTGAACTTAGGCAGATCATGAGAGGGAGGGCAGGAAGGGTTGCCTCAGTGCTTAGTTCTTGTGGCCCTTTCTTACACGCCCAGGGAAATGCTGATCGCCATTTTGGGGTCAGGAAGCAAATTTTCTCAAAGCCAGTTTGGTTGGTGATCCTGGAGGTTATTTCTGTCATCTTCTGGGTGTGGAACAGCGGTCACTGGGGGTGTGAGGGGGGAGGTATTTGTGAATTTCCTGCATTGTGCAGGGGGTTAGACTAGATGACCCTGGAGGCCCCTTCCAACTGTGATTCTATGATTAAGTATTCAAAGCCTGGGAGTCAGTGTACATACACACAGGATTCTTTGTTTCCTAAAACCTGCATTTGGAGTTGCACACATGTCCAGCATTTTTCAGCCCTTCCGCCCCCATCCCCCAGCATACTATTAACTATGTAGTATAAGCAGGGACCTACAAGGAGTTGTGGGGTCACCTCATCCCCTTGCTATTTTTTCTTTCCCTTACCTTCCCTGGCAGCCTCCATATCCACTACACCACACTGTCTTTCATGGTGTGGCTGCTGTTGAACAGTAATAAGTAGCTGAGCCTGGGTGAGTCCCATACAAGATGCTAGGTAGAAAGTCTCCCTGTGGTTGCTGCTGACCCTGGCCCTGATTAATCATCCCCGAAAGACCAAAACAGCCCCAGAAAGGACCCTAAGAAACTAAGGCTGTAAGGCTAACAATACTGTTGTGTTTACCTAACAATGGCTCCTATAGGCATTAATTTGTTAAAGCTACAGGTTCTCCTTCTACTGTAGAAAGATCTGTCTTGCCTGCCCATGGCTCCAGTCTCCGGATTTAAGTATCCACAGATGAAGCCACATTGAGATTTAGATGTAAACAAGTGGAGACCCATAAGAAACTTGCGGGCTGGTCATCCCATTCCTCACACCTTTGCTTCCTCCCCCTCCCCCTACCTCTCTCACACTCTT